CGCCCTCGCATCATCTGTTTGCAGTTCTTTTTTGCTACTTGTGTTTTTAATTTTTTTAGATTGACATAATAATTGTGCACAGTTACGAGGTACACAGTGATGTTTCGCTACATATAATACAGAGTGATCAGGTTGGGGTAACTGGCACATCCAGCATCTCAGACGCTGCGGTTCTCTCAGCCCTTCCTTCCCTTGGAGCCAGTCCCCTGTGCCCTGGCCCAGCCTGCACCGTCCCTCGGCAAGTCTCCCTGCTTCCACGGCCCCACTGCTGTCCGCTCTCCACATAGTCCGCCAGAGCCATCTTGCAGGAGTAAACAAGTTCTTGTCCCTTCCTGCTCCCTGCTCACAATGGCTTCCTGGCATCCTTGGAGTAGAATGTAAACGTCTTGCCGTTGCTGCCAGTCTCTCCTACTTCTCTGGCCTCACCTCCTAGCACTGTCTGCTTTGCTCGCTCCGTTGCGGACATTGCACTCCTCTTGCCTCCCTCTTTCTTGCCTCATGGTCTTCGCGCTTGCCGTCCTCATCCTCGTCCTCAGCCTGGACTGCTCTTCCCCTACGTCTTCTCCTGGCGCACCCTCACCCAGTCTGGTCTCTGTTTAAGGGTTCTCTCTCACCCACGTGAAAAAAAAGCACCTTCCTCTCCCCCGTCCCCCTCCCCAGTCACTCTGTCCTGGTACCCTGCTTTGGTCTTCTTCGTCAGCACTCATCACTACCTGGCTTTATGTGATGTATTTGTTTGCCGTCTTGTTCACTGTTTATCTTACCCACCAGAGTGTCAGCCCATGAGGATGGGGCCTTGTCTCGTCTGTCGCATCCAACACTCTAAGGCCTAAAACGGAGCCCGGCACACAGTAGGCGATCATGGCACAGTAGAGGGTGAATGGACAGATGAATGAGTTAATGCACGCCTGCATGCCAGTGCGGCGTTGGAGTTTATTCCTCAGGCAGTGCAAATCTCGTAGACATCTTTCAGGAGGTGAGTGACGTGGTCAGCACTTTTATTTTAGAAAGCCAGCTGGTGGCAGTGTGGGGGCTGGACTGTGGGAGGGAGGCAGCAGAGCTACTTTAGAGGCTGTTAAAATGGTCCAGGAAATTGGTGCTGAGTCCTGTGCTAGAGCTGTGGGGATGGAGCAGAGGGGACCGAGGACAGGACCTGAAGACTTTTGAGTCTCTTTGATTTCTTTCAGGATAAATTGGTGTAGTGACTCCTTTATAAGAAAAGCAGGAGGGGAAGAGCTGGTCTGGGGAGAGGCTGGTGATGTGTTTCTCACCGAGCAAATGTAAGCGCGGGGATGCGTGCTCTCTGCAGCGACGGTGGCTCTCTGAAGAGCAACTGTGCCGCTGCACAGCCGCCCCACTCAGCCAAGATGGTGGGATCGGTGCGTGTGATTCTTCTTCCTGCAGACGGGTCCGTTGATTTTTGCCCCTCACAAGCCATACTAAGTCATGGGTTCTTTCTTGCTGTGGGTACATTTCTCCGTATTTGACTCCCACAGCAGCTTTGCTCTAACAACTTCTCCCTTAAAAAAAAAAAATGCCTAGGCTCTGCCTAAATTCCAGGAGGGCTTTACTGGTAACCAGGCTTTCAGCATCTCCCTTACTACAAGCGCACACAGGGTCCCTTGCCTTTGCTCCAGTCTCAGGGAGTCAGAGCGACAGCAGGCACACTTTCCTGGCCCGGGCATAGCCAGGCTGTCTGGTACTGCCTTTTGAGAACTTTCTTTCCTTCAGAAATTCTGCTCTCTCCAAGTTTCGATGAAAAGCCTTTCTCATTTCTGAGTAAATACATTCTTACCCATCTTGCTGAGGTATCCCCCCATGGCCCCTAACTAAGACTGTGTCATCCCGGTCTTTCAAGCTTTGGTCCAGAGATGCTGTCCCATCTGGGTGGCTGCATGCTCACCTCCCACCTCTCCTCTCTTCCAAAGGTCCCGATGCCATAGGAATTTACACCAGAGAGGTTCTTGTGTGCCAGGCACTGTGTTAAGAACTTCACATGCATTCTTTCTAATCCTTACCACCCCAGGGGGAAAGGATTATGATCTTTTTTTACAGATGAGGAAGCTAAGGCTTGCCAAGGCAGTGGAGCTTAGTTAGTAGTTAAGAGTATAGGCTTAGAACCAATTGGACCCGGGATTGAATCTCAACTATCTGTGGACCTTGGGCATGCTACTTAATCTCTTTAACCAGTTCCTAGAGTTGCTGTAAAACTTCACTGAAATAACATGTTATTTCCTGAGTGCATAAATACTTGCTTATTATGTGCCAGACATTTTGCTATCAGTAAATAATAGCTCATTGCAGATACTGTCATCATCATCACCACCACCACCACCACCACCTTTACCATTACCATCCCAAGGCCACGAAGCTTGTGTGTAGGTGGAGCCTGCCTGGCTCACAGCCTGTGTTCTTTCTTCTGCCCCACACTGTTGCTCCCAAGCTCATCTTGCCTAAGACTTTCTGGTCCCTAAGTTTGCTCTCTTGGTCTTTCCTGGTTGCTCCATTTATCACTATCTAGGCAGTAGGCTCAAGCTAAAGCTCGGCAGTTTCTCAGTGCCATTTAACCTATGACTTCTTTTCAGTCACTGACCAAGCAGCAGTTCCCAGTGGCTGGATTGTCTGGGCAAGAGCTTGGGTAATTTTTCTTGATTGTCAACATCACCTTGTTTACTGTGAAAGGTCTTCCTCTATAGCTGTTTGTGTCAGCAGGATTGTCTATATGTTACAGAAGTGGCAGCAGAAAGGGTTGATGGGCACAGATCGCTTTGTGAATCTGGTGGAGTTTACAGACCCTCTTTCCAGAAAAAATGCACATGACAAAGATAAGCCCAGCATTTTTCATGAGACATTTTCCCTGGAGCCCTCCCAGGGGTTCCAGTTGACAATCTCTGACACGTAAGGTTAGGTAACATGTTCTTTTGTCGCCATACCCCTCCTTATTTATAGCCATGGAGGGTTTAACATTACTGCAGAATAATGCTTGTATTTGAAGTCTGTTGGGCATCGTGATCACATTTGGAAATGTGCGTTTCATGGATATTATTTATCATTTGCATTTATTTCCCATATGTAAGAAGTATGTTCACCCTGGAACTTCCTGGCCATTTTACTGAGTTGTACCTGCTGACTTGTACATAAATCCAGACCATGGCCTGCATCTAACAGACAGACAGGAGAGAAATTTTGGCCTAAAATATCAGACTAACAGGAATTTTATTGTGAATGATAGATTATAAAGGGGGATAAACTTAGCTTCAGCAGGGTTTAATGTTCTTAATTCATGTAAATGTAAATCTCTGCTTTTCAATTTAAAATTTTTTGAAATTTCAATCTCAAAAAATATACTTTTATTCCCTTCCAGTTTTCAAGGTATAGGGAAGGGAGAAGGCAGATTCCAAGCACCCTGACTCCCCAGCCTCAGACCTGCTGGTAGGCATCTCCTTGGCACTTGTCCAGTGAATGGTGGAACGAGCCTGCTGTTTCTAACAGCCACAGGAACGGCGATTGTCGTTGCCGATGGCCGCTCCATGCCCTGCCTGACTTTTGAGGCCCCACAGAAAGAAAGGAAAAGAACCGACTGCAAAGAAAGCCCCAGAGTCCTTCCTCCTGCTCTAGCTATGGCGTCAGTGCCCTCTGTTGATGGAAATGGGACTTAGATTTGGAGTGCAGGAACTGCATCCATCTGATGAGCAGTTTTTCCTCCAAAGTTTTTCTTTTTGTGCTTCTTCTAAATTATAAAAACAACAGATAATCATTACTAAGCCAGGATTAGAACTCTCCATGCATGGCTTTGAATTCCAGCTCCATCACTTATTAGATACGCAGCCCTGGGCAAAACACGCACCCTCTGAGCCTTGATTTTCTCATTGTGCGGAAGATCTAGTAGTTTCACCTCATAACATTGCTGTGGGGATTGAGGGAAATGGATATATAGAATGCTCTTCCTGGGGTCAGCCATGTATTTGCTTTTTCCAGTGAATGTTTATTGAGCACCAGAGCCAGTCACTGTTTAGTTGTTCTGGAAACCATCAAGAACAAGACAGAAGGGGTCTCCATTCTCCTGATGCTCGCATGCCAATCAGAGGAGGCACAAGCACACAAGATCATCTCAGCCACTAAGCAGTTAGACCTGGGGGTAGGAAGGGCCACTTTATATTGGATGGCCAGGGGAACTTCTCTGAGCAATCTCAATGCTTTGTGACACCCCCCTCCCCTCGTCCCACATTCTCCAGGACGCCTGCTTTAAAAAAAATTCTGCCCCTTTCAGTATATAGGTCCTGATTTTGAGTTTGGAAAATCTGACCACAGAGCACGTATTAATTCTCTTGTTCACTCATGGGCTTCCCATTCAGAGTGCAAGTTCCCAGGGCAGGAACCATGTCACAGAGCCTTTTGCTGGCCTCAGGGCCAGTGTGGACAGTGCTTCTCTCAGAGCACTCACCCAGACGAGCCGACACGGAGAGAAGAGCCTCGTATAGGGAGGGAGGGCGATTAATTTCTAGCCAGATCCCATTTTGCTCCAGTGTTGCTTTGAGCATTCCAGTTTCTAAGGAGCTGGAAATAATCTCTCGCAGGGAGAGTGTGGCACACTGCAATCTCCTGATTCTCTGCATGCAGTTCTTTAAGGTCTTGTTGAAGCCACATGGGAGCCAGGTGGCTGGGGCAGTCCCAACTCATGCACTGGCATTTGAACTGCAGAGCAGTAGGCCTGACACCAACCACATCGCCCCTCTCCGGGTGTAGTGTGCCCGCTTGCTGCCTTGGGCAGTGGGGACCCAAACTGCTGAGTGAGAAAGCTGCTGAACAGAAGAGCAGGCTGCATCTGACTCACCTGTCATGTCGATAGTTGACCTACTTTTACTTGACCTTGATTTGCTCATCACAATTAAAGATGCTGTTGTGAATGTATTTCTGCTGCCTGATTAGAGCCCAGGAAAGATCCACACACATGACTTAGGCAGATAGACAGATGGATGAGTGGTTAACTTTGCACTTACCTCTGAATTGTAATTCTATCACAAGGAAAGGGCTTAATTTCAAGAACATGGAGCAATTATTTGAGACTAGCTACAATGCCAAAGCAGCGGGCCTTGATTTCCTTGCTACCGGGCAGCTTAATCAGGAAATGGCCTAGATGGCCGCCTTTCAAGTAGGTCCTTGCAGTAGCTTGGCAACAGGCACAGGGTCATAATTGGAAGAATTTGGCTCTGAGTGTCTGTGGGTGTTTACGGTGCACTATAGGGCAGGGCTTCTCTTATTTATAGAATATTTTGAGCAACAAGCAGCAGAAGGCTGAAAAGCCACTAAATCTCAACTTATTTTTAACAAATTCCATTTTTCTCCTCATCCCAGAAGGAGAACTGAGTTATTAAAAAACAGTAAAAAAATACATCATTGCAGAGCATGCCATATCTAATTATGGGGCTGCCAGCATCGGCCTGCAGCCACATTTTAAGGGCTTTGTAAATCAACCATCCATTCAATCTGTGAACTTATATGACTCCTGTTCCTCATTTAGATGTAGAACGAAATTATTGGCAAGTGAGTGCTGATCAGAAAAAGTTCTCTCCTGTCTAAATTAGGAGATGGGAGGTATAAATATAGAATAGTGTACTTATGTTCTCAAAGGGAGATAAAATCATTCTTCATTGTCCATTATACTTAGCGACACAAACATACATCCCATAGCACTAAATATCCACTTTAGGGTTTTCACTCATTGCAGTGGCGTGTCTGAGCCACACAAAGGAGCGGTATTGTGCTGTCTTGCTGAGCCTAACCCTGAGTGATTATTACAATGCCACATAGCCATGAAAAGACATGAATCCAGTGCTTTTCTGCCTGTGTTCTTGCAGTGTCTTGGAGACAAATGGAACCCCAGAGACATTCCGGTTTAACTACATCTCATCATAGGTGGGGAAGCTGAGACTCAGAGAGGGGAGTGACTTGCCCAGGGGCGCACAGCAAGTCCTGGCAGAGGTGGGCTCGAGGAGGTAGTCTCTGTGTTTTCTTGATAGTGCCTTGCTGTGCTAAGCTCGGGAACCAATGTATTCAATGTCTGATTTCCACCCTTCAGGGGTTTGCAGTCTTAGAAGACACCAAGACGGCTGAACCGCGACCATATGCATAAGTAGACCAAGTTATATGTGTACAACAAACAGATTAGCTGAGTGGTGGAGATGATGAGAGTGGGGAATTTTGGAATCTTTCTGTTTGGATAGCAAGGCAAAGGTAAAATCAGTTGCTCACTGACCTACTTGGGAAAAGCTTTATGATGCTATAAAGTTTCCCGATGAAAAACGGTGCAGCACATTTGCTGTGTGTTGTGGGGAGGGAAGGTGCGGTGAGCGGTGGGCGGTAGGGGCAGTGAAGATAAATACTGCGGCTTTGGAGGAGCCCTGGGAATGGATTGTTGAGGAGATTTCATAGGAACACCAAAGGGAGCAAAGGACCAGGGCATAGGCTGGGGACAGGCGACTCCCAGTTCCATGGAATGCCCCGCCCTTTGTGGAATAGCAAGTGGGTGGCCTGAGTGCTGCGTTCCCAGTCCTCTGAGCCTACCCTTGGTACGAAGAATAACGACTGATCATGGTGGTCTTTTTTCTGGCCCTCTGAATCCTTTGTGCAGCGCTGTGGCTGCCAACATCAATGGACTAGAGCCAGCATGTGAGAGAAGCCGGTATCTCTTTCTTGCCCTGGGCTACATGCTGTGCACAGCACCTGGGCCAGAGTGGGCTCTCGGGGTTTGTTCTTTTTCTGAGGCTGGGAGGGGCAGAGAGACCTAGGGAAACCTTTACCAGGGAGGATGGACTGCAAAAGCATCTGCGGTGTCACTTGGTGGCCATGCAGGAGGCCAGTGGTTTTAGGGGCTGTGAGTAGGCCAGGCAGGGTGGGCTGGTGGGGGTCTGGGCCTGAGTTAAGGCGGTAGCAGTCAGCATGGAGAGGAACAAGTGGGAGAGGAGTGATCACAGGGGAGGAAGAAGCATTCGGAGGATTTGGCTGCAGACAGACCACCAACCAGAGAGTGACAGACAGTGACATGCTAAGACACGTGAATTGCCTACCGCAGAGGAGGTCGGAGGTGGGGAGGGAGGAGTCGGGGCTATGGGCAGATCCGGCAGCTTGGATCCAAAGCTCCAGCCTTTGGATTATTGAGCTCATTCTCTCTGAAAGAGAGGGGCTGCCTTCCTGCCCCAGGAGTTCCTAGCCAGCCTGGGCAGTGGTTCTCAAACATGTTGCCAGGTGTTGCCAAAGAACAAACAATTAAATGTGTACACAGAATGTCCCCAGGGTCATCTCCATACATTTTTTTTTCTTTTCTTTTTTTTTAATACCTGCAGCCACCTACCTGCGTTTGAGTTCTCAGAGTTGAGAATGTATAAATGAACAGTAACAAGTACCCAGAAAATACTTGGAAAATAGCTGATAAGCTTTAGTTTGAGAATTTTATATTTTTTCTTGGCTTTGTATTATAGTTTTAATACAACCAAGTGATGTTTTTTTCTGTTGGTAAAATAGTTTCTAGTTTTAAAACTATTTTTAGTTTTTATAGTTTATAAAAATCACACTATTCCATGATGGAGGATGCCCCGCCAACTTTTGAGGAGCAAATTTTCCTCTTTTTCCCTCTTGTCTCTTGTTTCTGGCCATTTCACTCCGTCCCAGGGACTTTTCCTGTGTGTAGCTCAGCCAGGAGACTGACTTTGGTGAGACCCGGGGTGAAGGGACTGTTGGTGGGTGGTAGTGAAGAACGCTGCATCCCTGGCCTGGGAGGAGGTTGGGAAGTCACCTGTAAACTGGAGCGACCCTGGCTTCCCGTCCCAGTCACAGCCCAGGGAGCTGGCGGGCCTGATGACTCCATATTATGTGCCCCCAGATGCTAATGGCATTAATAATTGATACTGTCTTCAAATCCTCCAAAATAAGAAAATATTGGTAGCTTTTTGTCACAGCCCTGTCATTTTACACATTCCCTGAATTGCTATCCAGCACCCAGTGGGCATTCAAGAAACAATTTTGGTTCCTTGAGCCATTGCTGGTCACTGCCATCACCACTGCCACCCCCAAGTGGTGTTCGGAGCTGTACGTAAAAGTCCTAAAGGTTGTGTATGTTAAGACTGGTCCAAAGTCCATCCTCCCTCCTTCGGCTGATCAGCCACACCCTGGCTATCAGCACCTGTTTGCTCACTATCAGAGTGGCAGGTCGGTCCAGTGGGCAGGGGCCTCGGGGGTCACTTCCTCCGGCCACCCTCTGGTGCAGGGGAGTCTGGTCTGCATGGTCATGCTAGGCCGTCCCCTTCCCGCCCGGCCACCTACACACCAGGCATCCTGCTCCCCCGCCACGAACATCTCTGGCTCTTAGAAAGGCCTTTATTCTGACCCCAGATCTGCCTCTTGGCAGCGTTTCCTCGGTGACCTAGTTCTGTTCTTTGTAGCAACACAGAACAAAGGTCTGCAGGCATGGCGTGATTCCACTTCAGAGGTTTGAAAGCAGTGCTCATGGGCCCACGTCCTGTCCCTCCCCCCCCACACAGGGTCTGTGTTCCCCAGGGCCTTCCGCCATCCTTTCTGTGGCATGGCAGTCGGTACCAGTACCAATGACAGGCGGCGTTTATCGAGTGAGTGCTTGCCGTGTGCCCGGCAGTGTGCTGAGCTCCGTGCATGAACTGTCTTATTCACTGTTCACAGCGCCCTGTGAGGTGAGGACTGTCATCATCCTCATTTTTGCCAATGAGGAAACTAGGGAACGAGGGGTCCAATCTTGCCCGGGGCCACGCCTGTCAGTGGCAGAGCAGAGATTTGGGCCCAGGCAGTGGGACGCCACAGCCTGTGCCCTGAGCGCTTGCGCGGGTTGGAATACTCACAGCGCTTTCCGCAAGTGCTAAAAATAGCCCCTGGGACGCCTGGGCTGGCCCTACTTTCACTTATTTAACTTATTTTGCAAGAAATCATTTGACAGGCGCCTGAGTCGAACCGTTCTATGAGACCTCTTCAGAGTTTGCTTTGATGGGACCGACGACAGGGCAGAGGCCTCCACACTGTCCCCAGCAAACGGGCTCGTCCTGGCTCTGCCAGGCCCCACGTCGTCCGTGAAGTAGAGGGCTTACCTTACGACGGCAAATACAGGCTCTTAATGTTATTGTTTCCTGAACGTGTCTGAGACAATAGGTTTCTTGTTTGAAGTGCTTAGTTATGGTTTTATGGCCAGAAAGTAGAGGGAAAGAGGTACCTAAGAATGGTAAAACTGGATCACCTCCTCAAGTACCTACCCTGTATCCTCACAGGGTAACCCCGGCAGCCATGGGATGGAGGATGTGAGTCCCCCTCCTCTAAAGCTGGGCTAGGGGTGCCAAATCGGCCTTTTCCTGAAATGACTCCTGGCAGCTCTGGGCAGGCTCTTCCAGCAGCCTAGAGAAGGACACCTGTGACCTTGGCTTCCTGTGCTCAGGGACGCCTGGCCTTTTCTGGTCACGGGCACATACTGACTGCGCCACAGGGCTGAGGAGCTGGGGTTGAACATCTTTCTGTGTGAGTTGCTTTTCAGATAGCATGCATCCCAGTCACTGTTTGCTAGACGCTTATGCTGCAAAGTGAGGGACCTGGTCCCTGAAGTGTGGTCCCAGAGGCCCAGAGGGTTGAAGCAATAGAGAAAGCACTGGCTACAGTCTGGTTCTGTCATTTCCAGAAAAAGTGCCCTGAGCAGCAACCTCATTTCCGTGAAATGTAGTGTCTTTATCTGAAAAGTACTAACCCACCCATAGGATTGCTAGGAGGATTAGATGAGATTCTGCAAGGTCATAACAAAAAGCCCCTGGCACAATGTCTAGCAGGGAATAAATAGAAATATTAGAATAATAGTTTCCTTCTTCCTCCACTGTCTATTCCATCTCCTTTTCTAGTCCTGCCTGCTGTTGATTTTCTTTATGGCTTTGGGTAAATAGCTTAACCTCTTAGCCTCTTTTTGTCTGTAGAAAAGAGAGGGTTGAATCATGCTGCTGGTTCTTAGCAGGTGAATAGCGCCCCCTATAGGACATCTTGGAAATGTATGGGGTGCCTTGGCTGTCTGTCACAGTGACCCAGACAAGGCTTTTATGGGAGGATGGGGGCCAGACCAGAGTGCTCGATGTACTGCTTGGGGGACAGAGGATTGTCTAACATCACCATCACACAGCCACCTAACGTTCAGTGGGCATTCATGTAGGTAAAATCCTATTTATAATTATTGGAGCCTGGAATCCGACTCCATTTTACATATATAATTTTTGCATGTTTTTAATATATACTGAATTTTCCAGAAATACAGATGCCAAATATATAAGATTTATCTATTTCTTATGACTAGGCACAAGCATCTCATATGTCTATCATGATGTCTTCTGGCGTGGCTGTGCCCAACATTTGCATATTGATTTGCATATTAGCCTATTTACCTAACTTTATTTCCTTTCTTCTTTGTATTACCGTTAGGGCATTATATTGATTATTTTTGAAATGATAAGTGTTGGCAGATTATGTTATTTACGGGATTGATTTTAAGAGAGTAAAAGGCATGTAAAAAATATTTGTATTGCATCTTTGAAAGTATGAGGGGGGAGTGTGTGTGTGTGTGTGTGTATGTGTGTGTGTGTGTGTGTGTACACACGTGCACTTGCATGTGAGCACTTATAAATTAGCTGGAAAAGCCTTAGGATAGACTTGAAATAAAAAGAAATGGTTTCATTTATCTTAGAAATGTCTTTTACATACGGATATGTAAAAGTGTGAATTTAAAAACAATTATTATGGGTACATAATAGTTGTGTATCTTTATAGGGTATATGTGATGTCTTGATACAATCATGCAATGTGAAGTAATCAAATCAGGGTAATTGGGGTATCCGTCACCTCAGGTGTTTGTCATTTCTTTGTGTTAGGAGCACTCCAATTCTACTCTTTTAGTTATTGTAAAGTATACTGTAACTTAGTGTTGATTATATTCACTTTGTTGTGTTGTGCCATCAAAGATTGTTTGTTCTATCTATCTGGCCATATTTCTGCACCATTAACCATCCCACTTTTCTCCCCCTCCCCATTACCCCATTACCCTTTGCAGCCTCTGGTAACTATCATTCTACTCTCTGTCTCCATGAGATCAATTGTTTTTAATATTTAGCTCCCACATACGAGAATGTATGTGGA